ATTTTGACCTGGATAAATGTCCAAGATCCATCGAGAGTTACTGTGAACTTGCTATCACAAAGTGAGGTGTATAAAGATAAATAAATAAATAAATAAAATAAAAAAAATCATCTAATGAATATGTTAAAAATATGAAGGAAACGATGTATACAAACCAGGACACTTGTCTGAGTCACATCCAAGGTCTTCTAAATGGAACCTCATATCTGTGGGAGGATGGAGATGAACATAGAGAGAAAGTTGTTTCAGTCCAAGAAAGATGTAGACAGAGAGAGAATTATGAAAATTTTTTTTTTTCCTTGTCTGGAACTGGAACTAAATAAATTAGCTGCCAAACATGCAGCCCTTTTTAAAAATGTACCAAATGCATCAGAAAAAGCAGACATACTTTAAGTTTTAGTTGGTCTTGGATTAGAGTTGCAGATAACTAACTAAACCTTGAAAAGGTTTAATTATTTAGCCAACCAACCATAACCTCCATTATTATTCATTACTCAGTTTTCAGTAAGGAGATAATGCATTAATACTAGAAATATAATACAAGTAGTTATAAGTTATAATTATAAGCAGAATTGTATAATATTGAAAATCATTATTCAAACTTACGAAATTAATAAAAAAGAAAAGTGTAAAGTATTTGCAAACATTACTGAAATCTGGACAGGTTTGGTCAAGGAAACAAATGCTGAACCATAACCTTTTCTGTTCTCAAATTTTAAGATATTACTGGCACTTTTGAAACTTCTGCCATGAATCAGTAACTTGGATCAGCACATGGCACAAAGACATTTGCTTGTAGGATCAGAGGATAAAATCTATCAGCATCTCTCACAAAGGATTTCAGTCTGACAGTAAAGCTCCTTTTTTAATATATAAGGAAGTACCTGATGCCAATCACAGAAAGATTATGTAACCATAATAGGTCAAGGGATAAATACAGGGAGGGAATTGAAGGTTTGGTTGAGCACACAAGGCAATAAATGCATACATTTATAGCACAATATCCCTAACTCTAGTATAAAGCTTTTACTTTTTTTTAACTTTTTTTTTATGTAGGGCTGTCAATGTAATATTAATTTGATACAGTTTATTATTATTTATAAAATAGATGTACTAGATGCAGCTTGCCTTGCCAAACCACACTTACCAACAGCAGACAGGACAGAATGAGAGGAGCCTGTCACACAGGACGTGCCGTTGTCTTCAAAAACAGCTAAACAGAAGGCAACTGAAAGTAACACCCCGCAGAGACCCTAAGTTTTTAACTTGATACAGTGTCTTAAAAACACAATACTCATGGCGTGAGATGCTGAAAATAACCAAGCAAGCATAGCCAAAGAAGTTCGTCTAGCATATGTTTTCAAAGTCCAGCAATTACAAAATTACAACAATTCCGGAAAAAAAAAAAAATAAAAAATCCTGAATGAATGTCTAGGTTTACCTTGGAAAGACTGACAAGCTCGACAGCATAATGGGATACTGCTGGCTGTAACAAAAAAAAAAACAACGGAAAGAAAGGGATCTCAAGTACAGGGATCAGGACCTGTGGCATGATTGGCTTAAGAAAAGTTACACCCACAAGTATTTATAAAAATATATTTCACAAAGTAGGAAACAATACATGGATATCTTAGATTACAATACAGAGATAGCTAATTTAACATACAAGTGTATGAGCATTAAAGCACAGTAGAAAATATGATTTGCATGAAATACTATGTTATATATACTCTCCGTCCAAGAGAATTGCCATGTATCGCATCGATACAAACAGAGTATGCACGTAGCTCCAGAGCCAGATACCCATGTGCAATAGCTAACGTGCATAAACAAAATCACTTCAAAGAAAAGCTAAGAGAATCAGCAATGACTCTATGTACATCTTTTTTTTCATCTTTTTGCTCTAATATCATACAGTGCAGCACATAACGCATGTCTGTTTCTGTATTTCTTTACTCAGTGGATTCTGATTTTTAATTTTCAGAAATGGCAGGGGTCAAATATAAAGATGAACGATGTTCTCAGCTATTGTGCTTAGAATGATCACTGATATCACTGTATATAGTATGTGAATATATGTATATATATATATATATATATACACACACACACACACAATGTCAATAAAATATTAACTTATCTTTCCGGGTCAAGAACAAATTATCTGTGGATTTCACAGTACAGTGTAGTTAACAAATATCATTATGTGAATTTCAATACAGAAATTCAGTTCAGCTTTAAAAAAAAAACAAAAAAAAACAGTGATGCAGCAGAATGAAACCGCTTAAGAGGAAAAGCTTGAAACTTTAAATTAAAAAGTTAATAAAAATAACCATTTGGCTGAAATAAATACAAATATGAAAAGTATAAATATACTCAAACCTGCAGCACAAAACAGATGACTGGCGATGAATATTTATATATTTATATAAAACATACACAATAATGAAGACACACCATCAATGTTCCAAAAAAAAACATTGGAATACGACTGTATTTAATACTTGCTTTTGTAAAACGAAGGCCTCATTGTTTCCACAATTATCTTGTTGTCCTCAACGCAGTCTTACACAGTCTAATCATCTTAGAGTGTGAACCACACTTAAAGCATATGGATACAAAGGGTTGTATAAAGCAAGCCTATAGGCTTTGCCAGTTTACTCAAGAAATCTGTCCACGTAGTATCAAAGGGTCAAATGTTATCTCAGCAGGCAGATCCTAAAGCCGGTGTGATGTATTTTCATTGCGCTCGTATTTGTTAAACCACACATACATTCATAAGTAATGTAGACAATATATTGCTATTTAGTTTACCTTATTTTTTTAATGTTCCTTTATCTGAATGACGGCAAGAGATCTGTTGTCGCTGGGGAGCGGTGTCATTTTGAGGCCTCTGCAGTCCAGTCCTTTTTCTCCTGCTGCAGCGGGCTACAAGGTGTCCAAAAGTCCTATTTCCATCCAGTCTTTTCAAGCGACTACCAATAATCAAGGTTCTGATGCCTCTGGTGGTCACAGTGAACAACAAATACCCAAAATACTGCTAGACACTCAATGATGGTAATCTAAACTCACACTCCACAAAAATCATTGACCTCCTACTATAGACACTGGTAAGTTCTGACGTTACGATGCACTCTGATGTGGTAGATGACTAATGCTATTACGTCTCTAAGAAGTTTTTAAAAAAGGCGCCCACTCCCCCTTTTAAACAGCAGTGTCTAACATCCCCGTAGCATAATACACATGTAATGTGGACAAAAGCAAAAGGTCCGTGGCGCTTGGAGGTCAAGTCTCTTTGTCGCTCTCGCCCACAGAATAGAGCTCGCCCAGTCTTCTGAAGCGCGGCCCCCACTCTCTAAGGTAGTCATAGTTCTGGTCTGAGTCTGAGGAGGCCGTTTCGAGGGAGCTCAGGGACCCTGCGATGGAGCCCCTGCCCTCATAGCCGTAGATTTGGATGGAGTCGTACGGTGGAGCCGTGGGGTCGTTGTCTGCCTCGTGAAGCCGTACGTTGATGAATTCATCCACGTCTACTCCGTTCGGACCCGAGTGCTGACCCTGTCTGGGCATGAACTGCAGGTCAGGCTTTATGTCCTTCCTGGGCAGATAGCCGTTGATACCATCTGGGTTCTGCAGGGTGGCGATGTCAAAGGCCTCCGTATCCTCCTCCCCACCTCCCTCGTCATCGTAACGGATGATGTTCTCCCTCACGTCCTC